GACTGGCCGCCGGAGGCTCCACTGGGTACCAGCAGGAAACGACCCAGTGAAGCCAGGTGGGCGGCGCAGCCAGATCTCCTCGTGCAGGCTGCCCTGTAGGAAGGCTGTACTGAAGTCAAGCGAGTGGAGCTCGTAGTCACGGTGGGCGGCAACATGCAGCAGTACCCGAAGAGTGGTCATCTTCGGGGTAGGGGAGAAGGTTTGAAAGAAGTCAACTCCCTGTCGCTGACTGAAGCCACGTGCAACGTAACGCGCCTTGAAGGCAGGCGGAGAACCCGGCGGCCGCTTCACCCTGAAGATCCACATGCCACTGACGATGTTCGCCCCAGGCGGGGGAACGTCGTCGACGTAGGTGCCTGTGGACTTCCAGGAAGCCATCTCGGCGTCCATGGCTGCTTGTTACTGAGAGTAGGGACCCTCTATCGCCTCTGCGTAAGAGCGCGGGGTTGGGATGTCTGGTGCATCCGGGTCTCCCTCAGGGGCAATCAGCATGGACACGAGATGAGGTACAGAAGCGGCAAAGCACTCAAACTCCTCCAGTCTGTCCTCAAGAACGTCCGTGCCAAGAGCACACTCACCCCCGACGGACGGAGGAAAGACAGACGCAGACGCCAACTCAGCAACAAGACTAGTGGCGTAGTCTAGGCGAGAGGGTGCAGCAAAGGCAACAAGCTCAGTAACAAGAGCAGACGCAGCAGTGGACTCAAACAAAGGGTCAGTGACAGCAGTGGCCAGAAAACGCGTGACAGCTGGACTAGCAGCACGTAGAGAGTCAAACGCAGGGTCCGGGCCGGCAGGAAGAGAGGACGCAGGAGGAGACGGCAAAGGGACACGCTGCGGAGCAGTGGAAGGACGCAGATTCATAGAGTGAGTACCAGGGACAGGAGGAGGACGCGGACGCGAAACACGACCAGTGCGAACAGGACGGACAGGCGACGCAGAACGAGACTCGGGCGACACAGGACGTGACGCAGGCACACGACGCTCTGAAAGACCGCTAGTCGGTCCAGAGTAAGAAGAGGGACCAGGTAGCGGAGAGGCTGGTAGTAACTGCAATTGGGACTGGACAGGCGGTGGACTCAGGAAAGGAGGAGGAGGACCAGGAGGAGGCGGTGAACCAAGAACCTGCTGAAGGAGTGGAAAGTAGTACGGCCGCGGCCGCGCAGCGCCTCCAGAAATAGTAGAGACAGAACCAGTACCCTCAGCCCCAGGGTCTCCAGTCCCAGCAGCACCTCCAGCAGCTTCAGCAGCTCCAGCACCAGCAGCACCTCCAGCAGCTCCAGCAGCAGCAGCACCTCCAGCACCAGCAGCACCACCAGCAGCGCCAGCACCAGCAGCACCTCTAGAAGCTCCAGGAGCACCTCCAGTACCAGCAGCACCTAGACAGCGCCAAGAGTACCACTCACGAAGCTGCTGTGGAGAGAGAGGCTCCCGCCGCGACGGGACAGTGAGAGCACCTCCAGACGCAGCACGCGCAGGCTCAGCACCTCCAGCAACTCCAGCACCAGCAGCACCTCCAGCAGCTCAAGCACTAGCAGCACCTCCAGCACCAGCAGCACCTCCAGAGCCCCAGCAGAACCTCCAGTACCAGTAGTACCTCGACAGCGCCGAGAGTACCACTCACGAAGCTGCTGTGGAGAGAGAGGCTCCCGCCGCGACGGGACACCTAGAGCACCTCCAAACGCAGCACGCGCAGGCTCAGCACCTCCAGCAGCTCCAGCACCAGCAGCACCTCCAGCAGCTCTAGCACCAGCAGCACCTCCAGCACCAGCAGCACCTCCAGAAGCTCCAGCAGCACCTCCAGTACCAGTAGTACCTCGACAGCGCCGAGAGTACCACTCACGAAGCTGCTGTGGAGAGAGAGGCTCGCGCCGCGACGGGACACCTAGAGCACCTCCAGACTCAGCAGGCGCAGGCTCAGCACCTCCAGACACAGTACCCTCAGGCTCCACACGCCCAGGCTCAGCACCCCCAGACTCAGCACCTCCAGACTCAGTACCCCCGGGCTCCACCCGCTCAGGCTCAGCACCCCCAGGAGCACCTAAGTCGATAGCTACCTCGACTGGCTCGGCAGGGTCTACCTGGGACACACCTGAGGGGGCAGGACCCTGGGGGGGGAGGGGGTCTACCGGGGGAGTACCTGGTGCTAGGAAGAGCGGCGGGGGGGGGAGAGAGGCAGTGCGGTAGGGAAAGAGACGGTAGTAAGACACCGACTCGTCAAACGTGACGTCCTGAGAGGACAGAACACGACGCGAGGTGGGGTGGTAGAACTGCCACCCGGGTGCGTCAGGAGGGAAGCCAAGGAAGACACACGGAACGGCACGGGAGGACAGCTTGTCCGCTGTAGTATCGCGGACAAAAGCTCGAGATCCCCAGACACGGAACGCGGACGCATGGCCAACCTTCCCCGTCCACCGCACAGTAGGTGTGGTCTCCGGCAAGGAGACACGAGGCTGAAGGTTGATCTGATGCGCAGCGTACTGAACCGCGAACGGCCACAAAAAATGGGGAGCAGCCGCATGGATCATGGACGTACGAGCGACATCCATGACCATGCCAATGCGGCGCTCAGCAATCCCATTTTGCTGCGGAGAGGCGGGAATCGTGAACGTCTGGCGGATGCCCTCCGAACGACGGAAGGCCCTCAGGAGGTCGGAGGAGAACTCCCCACCTCTGTCTGAGTGCAGACGCAGAACAAGTTGGTCTGAACCGAAACTCTCACTGAGCTGGCGACGAGCACCGCGGATCCAGTCGATCAACACCTCAGGGACCTCACCCTTGCTGTGCAAGGGGAAGACTGTGGTGTAACGCGAGTAGTCGTCAACAACCAGCAGGAAGTAACGCTCGTGACCCTGTCCACGGACGCGGGCTGGGCCCCACACGTCCATGTGAAGAGTCTGCAGAGGAGCCTCAGTCGGAGGGAACGAGGAGGAGTGAGGGGCGGCGTGCTGGCTGCCCTCGACACAAGGAACACAGGTGGGGGCAGGCCCCGGAGGAAGGGGAGGGAGGGACCGGGGTAGACCCGAGACAAGGGCACGGGAGGCCATACCTCGAAGACGAGGCAGGGAGGGGTGACCAAGGTGGTGGTGCCAAAGGAGAGTCTCGTGCGACAGAGGACGACACGAGCAGGGGGCAGACGCAGGACTAGACCTGGACGCGGCAGCAAACACCTGACTAGAAGCAGCTACCTGACCAGACGCAGAGACCGGAGGAGGCGCAGTAGTCATTGTGTACAGACTCGACCCTGGCCGACGGGTGAACGTGGCCAGGTGGCGGCCCATCCGAGAGCAAGTGCAGTGGGTCACACGCTGACCTCCAGGGGTGAACTGGTCAACCCACGCGTCCTGGAGGTCAGCTCCACTCACCAAGTTCGTAGAGAACGAGGGGAGGTGGAGTCCCGATAGCAAGCCCGACGGGGCCGCAGGACACGGTAGAACCGTGGAGGAGTGTGCAAGGACTGGGCCCCCTGAGGGGTCAGCAAGGGAGACTGCAACAGGCCGACTGAGCAGCGTGAGCGTGGTGCTGTCTCTAAAGAAAGAGCGCGAAGCACCAGAGTCAAGTGTGAAAGTGTGCAAGGACTCAGTAGGTGCAGTACCACAGAGAGCAGACGCACCAGCACCTGAAGCAGCAGACGCACGAGCACCTAGAGCAGCAGCCGCAATGCCCAGGTCGGGCGGGACACCGAGGTAACAGTCACCCTCAGCACTATGAGCAATAGCATACATGGCAGCAAGGATAGCATCAAAATCTAGATCACAGATAGGCACATTCTGCAGAAGCAGATCATGCCAGCGAGGGAGCTCAACGGCGTCAGGAAACTGGGTACGCCAAGCGTCAGTCAAGCGACCGAAGCAGCGCTGCGTGGTGTGTGGGAGCCCACACACCTCCCCACTACGAGTGCCTGTGCGAAGAACGTAAGTGCAGGGACCTGCACCCCCAGACCTCCCACGCCCAGCGTACCACTCACGAAGCTGCTGAACCGACGGGGTCTCACGGGTGCGGAGCTGCTGCTGGCGCTGGCTGTCACCAAAGCCTCCACGCTGCGCGGCTGCACCTCGACCAGCACCACCGCCGCCGCCACCTCCACCACCGCTGCCGCTGCCTCCACCACCTCCGCCACCGCCGCCACGACCTCCACCGCCGCCACGACCTCCACCGCCGCCACTGACGCCCCCACTCCCGGTACCACCCCCACCTCCACCGCCACCTCCTCCGCCGTCTCCACCTCCGCCACTGCTTCCCTCGCCGCCCCCTCCACCACCCTTGCTCCCCTTGCCCTTGCTATTGCGGCGTCTCCCACTAGGGGCAGACGCAGCTCCGACCTCCTCAGTGCCAACGAGGTCGACAGCAGCAGCAGAAGCAACAGAAGGGAGAAGGGGGACAGGGGAACACCCCTCAAAGATGTTAGAATAGTAGTGACTTAGGAACCATGGCTAGGAAGGATGTCGAGAGAGTTGAGTGTTGAGAGAATTGGAAAGGAGAATGAGGGGTTTCACTAGCAAGAGTTGGGATACAAGTACAACACCCTAAATTGGGTTGTACTCATTACAGAGTACCCCACTGCAGGCTAGACAGCAAATACATTCTGACACACCCCCATAGTCAAAGTGGGGTATAATCAGCAGAGCAAGCAGTCATAGAGCAGGTTCACAAGTACAAGCAAAGCTAGAGGCATACACAAAGGGCAAGTGAGGAGGAGGCTAGACTGTGAGAGGAGAGGAGATAGGAGGCGACTGCTGATGCTGCAGACACACGGGCAAAAGGAGCGGTGCGCACTATGGCTACCGGGGCCGTATCCCCGGACTACAGGAGTAACTGGCTCTGCGGCTAACTCTGAGCGGCAGGAGCAACGGACCCACAGGCGACTGGCGCAGCAGGCTCGCTGGGCTACCGGAGATTGTAGCCTCCGGACTACTGGCGCTGCAGGCGACACGACGGCTACCTCCGCTCAACCTCCCCCAACTGTCCCACCCCCCTTTCACACACCCCTTGCTGCACCCCTAGCTCCATTCCCACGTCACCCCCCTAGCACCACTCCCTAGGCTCCCACACACCCACCCCCCTCAGCGGCAGCTGCAGCAGTGGGAGACGGACAAGGAGGAGGAGTAGGGGACGTTTCACACACCCGCCACCCCCATACCCTCCCCCCACTGCTGCACCTGCAGCAGGGGATGGAGGAGAAAGGGGGGGGGGGGGGGGGGGGGCTGTGCATGGCGCGTGCAGAGGGCAGCAGGGCGCACGGGGCGCACAGGGCAGCAGGGCGCACAGGGCAGCAGGGCGCGCGGGGCGCACAGGGCTGCAGGGCGCGCGGGGCGCACAGAGCAGCAGGGCAGCAGGGCGCACAGGGCTGCAGGGCAGCAGGGCGCGCGGGGCAAACAGGGCAGCAGGGCGCACAGGGCTGCAGGGCAGCAGGGCGCACAGGGCTGCAGGGCAGCAGGGCGCGCGGGGCGCGCAGGGCTGCAGGGCGCACGGGGCGCACAGGGCTGCAGGGCACGCGGGGCGCACAGCGCAGCAGGGCAGCAGGGCGCACAGGGCTGCAGGGCAGCAGGGCGCGCGGGGCAAACAGGGCAGCAGGGCGCACAGGGCTGCAGGGCAGCAGGGCGCACAGGGCTGCAGGGCAGCAGGGCGCGCGGGGCGCGCAGGGCTGCAGGACAGCAGGGCGCGCAGAGCGCGCAGGGCTGCAGGACGCGCGGGGCGCACAGGGCAGCAGGGCGCGCGGGGCGAAGCAGGGCGCGCAGGGCAGCAGCAAGGGCTGTAGCGGCAACAGCAAGGGCTGTAGCGGCAGCAGCAGGGCAGCAGGGCGCACAGGGCTGCAGGGCAGCAGGGCGCACAGGGCTGCAGGGCAGCAGGGCGCGCAGGGCTGCAGGGCGCGCATGGCGCGCAGGGCAGCAGGACAGCAGGGCGCGCAGGGCTGCAGATCCCCTCCCCCCCACCGCTGCACCAGCAGCAGGGGGATGGAGGAGAAGTGGGGGGAGGAGGGGGGGGGGGGGGCTGATGCTGCAACTCCCCTCCCCCCACTGCTGCTGCAGATCCCCTCCCCCCCACTGCTGCACCCGCAGCAGGGGTGGAGGAGAAGGGGGGGGGGGGGGGGGCGGGGGGGGGGCTGGTGCTGCAGATCCCCTCCTGCCTCCCTCTGAACCTCCAAGCTCCCCCGCCCTCCCAACACAGGGTGCGGCAGGGAGAGAGAGAGGAGAAAAGGGCGGGAGGGGGGGGGGGCTGATGCTGCAAATCCCCTCCCCCCACTGCTGCTGCAGATCCCCTCCCCCCCACTGCTGCACCCGCAGCAGGGGTGGAGGAGAAAGGGGGGGGGGGGGGCGGGGGGGGGGGCTGGTGCTGCAGGTCCCCTCCCCCCACTGCCGCATCCGCAGCAGGGGGAGATAGGAGAAGGGGGGGGGGGGGGGGGTTGGTGCTGCAGATCCCCTCCCCCCCCACTGCTGCACCCGCAGCAGGGGGGAGGTAGGAGAAGGGGCGGTGCAGGAGCCGCTTGGGCGACAGCAGGTTGGCCACACCCGCAACCCCCATACCCTCCCCCCACTGCTGCACCCGCAGCAGAGAGATGGAGGAGAAGGGGGGGGGGGGGGGGGGCGGGGGGGGGGCTGGTGCTGCAGATCCCCTCCTGCCTCCCTCTGAACCTCCAAGCTCCCCCGCACTCCCAACACAGGGTGTGGCAGGGAGAGAGAGAGGAGAAAAGGGCGGGGGGGGGGGGGGGGGCTGATGCTGCAAATCCCCTCCCCCCACTGCTGCTGCAGATCCCCTCCCCCCCACTGCTGCACCCGCAGCAGGGGTGGAGGAGAAAGGGGGGGGGGGGCGGGGGGGGGGGGGCTGGTGCTGCAGGTCCCCTCCCCCCACTGCCGCATCCGCAGCAGGGTGAGATAGGAGAGGGGGGGGGAGGGGGGTTGGTGCTGCAGATCCCCTCCCCCCCCACTGCTGCACCCGCAGCAGGGGGGAGGTAGGAGAAGGGGCGGTGCAGGAGCCGCTTGGGCGACAGCAGGTTGGCCACACCCGCAACCCCCATACCCTCCCCCCACTGCTGCACCCGCAGCAGAGAGATGGAGGAGAAGGGGGGGGGGGGGGGGGGCGGGGGGGGGGGCTGGTGCTGCAGATCCCCTCCTGCCTCCCCCTGAACCTCCAAGCTCCCCCCCCTCTCCCACCACAAGGTGCGGCAGGGAGAGAGATTGGAGAAAAGGGCGGGGGGGGGGCTGATGCTGCAAATCCCCTCCCCCCACTGCTGCTGCAGATCCCCTCCCCCCCACTGCTGCACCCGCAGCAGGGGTGGAGGAGAAAGGGGGGGGGGGGGGGCGGGGGGGGGGCTGGTGCTGCAGGTCCCCTCCCCCCACTGACGCATCCGCAGCAGGGGGAGATAGGAGAAGGGGGGGGGGGGAGGGTTGGTGCTGCAGATCCCCTCCACCCCCACCGCTGCACCCGCAGCAGGGGGGAGGTAGGAGAAGGGGCGGTGCAGGAGCCGCTCGGGCGACAGCAGGTTGGCCACACCCGCAACCCCCATACCCTCCCCCCACTACTGCACCCGCAGCAGAGAGATGGAGGAGAAGGGGGGGGGGGCGGGGCGGGGGGGGCGGCTGGTGCTGCAGATCCCCTCCTGCCTCCCCCTGAACCTCCAAGCTCCCCCCCCCTCTCCCACCACAAGATGCGGCAGGGAGAGAGAGAGGAGGAGGTGTGGCGGCAGCTGCTGCTGCTGAGGCACATCCGCCACCCCCTCACACCCTCTCCCCGCCATCCCCATGGAGGGGGGGGAGGGGGGGGAGGGGGGCGGGGGCGGAGCTGCGCGTGCGACTGTAGGGCACGCGGGCAGGAGGTACCCCCTCTTGCCACCCCCTCACCCACCATGTTGCAACAGGGCACCGGGGCCGTGGGTAGGGGCGGCAGATCGCGAGGGGCCATGGCCAGGGGCGAGGAGGCCATGGCTAGGGGCGACGGGGCCAAGGGGGCCTAGGGGCCGCGGGGCCAAACAAGGGGCCGGGGGGGCCTAGGGGGGCCGAGGGGCCTAACAAGGGGCCGGGCGCCGGGCTATGAGGTGGGGCCGTGGGGCCTAGGAGCCGCGGGGCCAAACAAGGGGCCGGGGGGGGCTAGGGGGGCCGAGGGGCCTAGGGGGCCGAGGGGCCAAACAAGGGGCGGGGGGGGGGGGGCCGGGCGCCGGTCTCTGAGGTGGGGCCGAGGGGGCCTAGGGGCCGCGGGGCCAAACAAGGGGCCGGGGGGCCTAGGGGGGCCGAGGGGCCTAGTGGGCCGAGGGGCCAAACAAGGAGCCGGGGGGCCGGGCGCCGGGCTCTGAGGTGGGGCCGAGGGGCCTAGGGGCCGCGGGGCCAAACAAGGGGCTGGGGGGCCAAGGGGGGCCGAGGGGCCTAGGGGGGGCCGAGGGGCCTAACAAGGGGCCGGGTGCAGGTCAGGTACGGGGCCGGGCGCTGGGCAGGTACGGGGCCGGGCGCTGGGCAGGTACAGGGCCGGGCGCTGGGTAGGTACGGGGCCGGGCGCTGGGCAGGTACGGGGCCAGGCGCTGGGCAGGTACGGGGCCAGGCGCTGGGCAGGTACGGGGCCAGGCGCTGGGCAGGTACGGGGCCAGGCGCTGGGCATGTACGGGGCCGGGCGCTGGGCAGGTACGGGGCCGGGCGCTGGGCAGGTACGGGGCCAGGAGCTGGGCAGGTACGGGGCCTGGGGCTGGGCGCGGAATGGGGCCGGGCGCGGGGCTAGGTATGGGGCTGAGCGCGGGCAAAGGACGGGGGGCCGGGCGCGAGGCTAGGTACGGAGCCAGGCGCTGGCGACAGAAGGGGCCGGGCGCGGGCTAGGTACGGGGCCGGGCGCTGGCTAGGGTCGGGGCCGTGCGCTGGGCTAGGTACGGGCCGGGCACGGGGCTAGGTACGAGCCGAGCGCGGACGAGAGACAGGGCCGTGCGCGGGCAGGGTACGGGCCAGTCGCGAGGCTAGGTACGGGCCGATCGCGGGGCTAGGAACGCGGCCGTGCGCGAGGCTAGGTACGGGCCAGGCGCGGGGCTAGGAAAGGGGCCGAGCGCGGGCTAGGTACGGGCCGATCGCGGGCTAAGTACGGGCCGGGCGCGAGGCTAGGTACGGGCCAGGCGCGGGGCTAGGAAAGGGGCCGAGAGCGGGCTAGATACGGGCCGATCGCAGGCTCAGTACGGGCCGGGCGCGAGGCTAGGTACGGGCCAGGCGCGGGCAAGGTACGGGCCGGGCGCGGGGCGATGGAGTCGACGGGGCCAAGGGGCCGAGGCGACGGGGCCAAGGGGCCGAGCCTAGGGGCTAGGGGCGACGCCAAGGGGCGACGGGCCGGGGCTTAGGCTAGCAGGGAAGTAGGTGGTGGGCCCATTAACATTAGGTCCTAGGAAATTTATGCTCTTAATACCATGTTAGAATAGTAGTGACTTAGGGACCATGGCTAGGAAGGATGTCGAGAGAGTTGAGTGTCAAGAGAATTGGAAAGGAGAATGAGGGGTTTCACTAGCAAGAGTTGGGATACAAGTACAACACCCTAAATTGCTTTGTACTCATTACAGAGTACCCCACTGCAGGCTAGACAGCAAATACATTCTGACAGCTAAGATACACCCCTCAAAGAAGGGGGTGCGACGGTCGCCGCGAGAAGCACCGACAGCTAAGATACTCTTCTCAACTGCGACAAGTCGCTCCTCTAGCAGGTCGACAGTCAGCTTGGTGGGGCAAAGGGAGAGAAAGTGGTCCTTGACTGAAGAGAGGGAGTCAGGGAGGCGGGTGACTAGGTAGTAAAGGGTGATGTACATCGGGGGGGGGTTCTTGGCACAGAACTCAGTGGGAAGGGCAGCGCGGTAGCGGGCGTCACTAGTGCGAAGGTGAGCAACTAGGTCAGCGACTGTGGCAAAGGCGGCAAGGTCAGGGAAAAGGTACGGCAGCATGAGGCGGCTGAGGGCAGCAGTGGCAGGGGAGGAGTAGCGTGCAACTACAGCGTCGTACAAAGACTTAGCAGTCTTGTACTGGCCAAAGTGTGCGCGCTCAGCAGGCGGCAGGTGACTACGAACAGCAAGACGAGCAACAGCGTCATGAGTGGTCCACTGCGAGCGAACAGTACTGTCAGCAGTGGCAGCAGGAGCAGTGGAAACACCGGACGTGTGATCGAAAAGGGATACCCCATCCCTAGAATCACACTGAAGAAAGAGCTGTAGGTCGTCAACCCACACGTCAAAGTCAACTGCACGTCCCTCAGCATCAAAGGTGAGAACGGTAGGACTAGCCATAGCAGCAGTAGGAGCAGGAGCAAGAGTAGCAGCAGTAGCAACAGTAGCTGCAGTAGCAGCAGAGCAGTGCAAGGCAGTGCTGCTCGGTAGGGCAGTGCGGCTCAGTGGGGGCGACGCGGCTCGGCTGAGCGACGCGGCTCGGCTGGGCGGCGCGGCTCGGCTGGGCAGCGCGGCTCGGCTTACCAGAGACGGGTGCAGGGGCGGGCCGTGACTGCAGGGGCCGCGCCAGTAGGGGCCAACAGGGGCTCGACAGCAAGGGCCGGCAGGGGCGCGCCAGTAGGGGCGCGTCAGCAGGGGCCGGCAGGGGCGCGCCAGCAGGGGCGCGTCAGCAGGGGTCGGCAGAGGCGCGCCAGCAGGGGCCGGCAGGGGCGCGCCAGTAGGGGCGCGTCAGCAGGGGCCGGCAGAGGCGCGTCAGCAGGGGCCGGCAGGGGCGCGCCAGCAGGGGCCGGTAGGGGCGCGCCAGCAGGGGCGCGTTTGCAGGGGCCGGAAGGGGTCGCAAAGAGCTGCTAAGGGGCCGCGAAGAGCCTTGGAGAGGGCCGCGAAGGGTCGTGAAGGGGCCGCGAAGGGCCGCGAAGGGCCGCGAAGGGTGTCAGAATGTTATAATTGTCTAGCCTGCAGTGGGGTACTCTATAGCGAGTATAACCCAATTAGGGTTTCCTATATGTATGCCAACTGCTGCTAGTGCAACCCCTCTTCTCTTTCACATTCCTGTTTCATTCTTCACATGGTTTCAGAGCAGGTCGACCCTCACGGGTCGATCCTGTGCATGGGCCCACCAACCTGCTTCCGCTGCTACTCGATCTGTCGCACGCCCCGTGGCGTGCGACGCATTTTTCATCCCGCCGCGCGCCGGCGCGCGCCCCGAGGCGCGCGGCCCCTTTTCTTCTTGGCGCGCCGGCCCCACTGGACCTGCGCGGCCCCTGCTGCCCCATCGTGCCGCCCAGGGGAGCCACGCGCGGCCCCTGCTGCCCCGTCGCACCGCCCAGGGGAGCCGCGCGCGGCCCCTGCTGCCCCGTTGCGCCGCCCGGGGGAGCCGCGCGCGGCCTCTGCTGCCCCGTCGCGCCGCCCAGGGGAGCCGCGCGCGGCCCCTGCTGCCCCGTCGCGCCGCCCAGGGGAGCCGCGCGCGGCCCCCTGCTGCCCCGTCGCGCCGCCCAGGGGAGCCGCGCGCGGCCCCTGCTGCCCCGTCGCGCCGCCCAGGGGAGCCGCGCGCGGCCCCTGCTGCCCCGTCGCGCCGCCCAGGGGAGCCGTGCCCAGCCCCTGCTGCCCCGTCGCGGCCCCGTTCCGGACCTGCCCCGGCCCCGCCCTGTCCCGGACCTGCCCCGGCCCCGACCCTGCCCCGGCCCCGGCCCTGTCCCGGACCTGCCCCGGCCCCGTCACGGCCCCGTCCCGGACCTGCCCCGGCCCCGTCTTGTCCCGGACCTGCCCCGGCCCCGTCACGGCCCCGTCCCGGACCTGCCCCGGCCCCGTCTTGTCCCGGACCTGCCCCGGCCCCGACCCTGTCCCGGCCCTGCCCCGGCCCCGTGTCGCCCCCCCCCCCCCCCTCCCTACCCGCCATCTTTGGCCCTGCCCTGTGTTAGGGTTTGGGGGTGGCGGGTGGGGGGTGGCGGGTGTGTGGCGTCACCTGCTCCTCCTCCTACTTCGTCTCCCACTGCTGCAGCTGTCGCTGAGGGGGGTGGGTGTGTGGGAGTGGACGGAGTGGTGCTAGGGGGTGGAGTGTGAGTGGATCTAGAGGTGCAGCAGGGGGTGTGTGACAGGGGGGTGGGATAGATTGAGGAGGATGAAGGGGGGTGGCTGCCGTGAAGCCCGCAGCTCCAGTCGCCCGTGAGACCGTTGCGCCAGTCGCCCGTGAGCCCGTTGCGCCAGTTGCCCGTGAGCCCGTTGCTCCAGTCGCCCGTGAGTCCGTTGCTCCTGCCGCTCAGAGTTAGCCGCGGAGCCAGTTACTCCAGTAGCCAGTGTGCCAGTTGCTCCAGTTGCCCGTGTGCCAGTTGCTCCAGTTGCGCCGTATGCCAGCAGCTTCAGCTGCCGCCCACGATCTCCTCTCCTCTCATAGTCCCTCCTCCTCCTCACTTGCCCCCTGTGATTTCCTCTAGCTTTGCTTGCATTTGTGAACTTTAAACTGTACTTGTGCTCAGAATGTGTGGTGACATTGTGATCCACCCTGAGCTTGTTTTGCTTTTCTTCTTGTGCTGATTACACCCCACTTTGGCTATGGGGGTGTGTCAGAATGTTATAATTGTCTAGCCTGCAGTGGGGTACTCTATAGCGAGTAT